CAAGGTCCGCGAAGGGATGGCCGATTGTCGAAAGTTCCCAGTCCAGAACGGCCACACACTCGGGGCCATTTTCGGCAAAAAGAAGATTGTCGATACGATAGTCACCGTGAACCAGAGTCCTCTTGCCGTCGTCGTCCGGTACGTTTTGGTCGAGCCAATCGATCAGCATGTCCATTGCCGCGATTTGTTCGGTTTCGCTGGCACGATACTGCTTGGTCCAGCGATCGATCTGGCGTCTGTAGTAGTTTCCCTCAGGCCCGAAGTCCGAAAGGCCAACCGCCGCCAGGTCAATCGCGTGAATGGCCGCCACAACCCGGTTCATGCTGTCGTAGATGCCGGTCCGCAGGGTCTTATCGAGTCCGGGCAACCTCGGATCGTCGAAGTTACGGCCCCTCACCAGTTCCATGACATAGAAGGCCGACCCGAGAATGCTGTCGTCCTCACACAGGACATGCATCTTCGCGACCGGGACATTGGAGCCCGCGAGAGCGTGTTGAACCCGGAATTCCCGGTCGACTGCATGAGCGGATTTCAGCAGGACACCGGGCGGTTTGCGGCGCAGGACATAATTGCCGGAAGCTGACGTTAATCGGAATGTCGGGTTGGACTGGCCCCGATTGAATTTTTCAGCCTGTACCGGCCCTGCAAATCCGTCGAGATTCCGGTTCAGCCAATCGGCTAGTGCCTTCAAGTCCAGTTCCGAACCGGCAGGTGCCATCATCAGATCCTGTCATTGGTATACTTCCGCAGCTCCGTGCGGGCCACCTGACGTCGATGCACGGCGTCCGGACCGTCCGCAAATCTCAGGGTCCGCAGGTGAGTCCACATGGCAGCAAGCGGGAAGTCCTGGCTGATGCCGGCTGCGCCATGAACCTGCATGGCCTCGTCGACGATTTTCAGCGCCATCAGGGGCGCGACGACCTTGATCTTGCTGATCCAGGGCTGGGCGGCGCGCGTTCCCCTTGTATCCATCATCCAGGCCGCCTTCAGACAGAGCAGACGCGCCATCTCGATCTCCATGCGCGCGTCGGCGATGATGTCGTAGTTGGCACCGAGATCGGTCAGTTTCCTGCCGAATGCCTGCCGGTTCATGGCCCGTTTGCACAGGAGCTCAAGCGCCATTTCGGCCTGACCGATCGCCCGCATGCAGTGGTGGATGCGGCCCGGACCAAGACGGCCCTGCGCAACCTCGAAGCCCTGTCCCTCGCCGAGCACCAGATCTTCCGCCGGAACCCGGACATCGGTGAAACGGATATGCATGTGGCCATGCGGGGCATCATCTGCTCCAAAGACCTGCATCGGTCGCAGGACTTCAATCCCGTCGGAATCGCTCGGCACCAGGAACATGGAATGCCGGCTGTGTTTGTGGGCAGACGGATCTGTTGAAGCCATGACGATATAGAGCCTGCAACGCGGATCTCCCGCCCCGGTCGCCCACCATTTTTCGCCGTTGAGGATCCAGTCATCCCCGTCGCAGGCCGCGCTCAGCGCAATGTTGGTGGCATCGGACGAGGCGACGTCCGGCTCGCTCATCAGGTAAGCGGAGCGGATCGTTCCCTCCAGAAGCGGTTTCAGCCAGCGCTCCTTGTGCACCTGCGACCCATAGCGCTCAAGCACCTCCATGTTGCCGGTGTCGGGTGCATTGCAATTGAAGACCTCGGCGGCGATCCCGACCTTGCCCATTTCCTCCGCGAGATAGGCATATTCGACGGTGGACAGCCCGAAGCCTCTTTCGCTGTCGGTCAGCCAGAAATTCCAGAGGCCGCGTTCCTTCGCCTTCGTCTTGAGGGTTTCCAGAATTTCCAGCTGCCGCGGCGTATGCTGGAACCGGTCTCCGGACGGATGCCCGCCAACCTCGTGATGAAACTCGATATCCAGCGGTGCAATCTCTTCCTCGACCATCTGCCGGACCTGCTCGATGAGCGGCCGCACCCGGTCCGATATGCCCAGATCCATGACGTCTCCCTAAATGATCTCTCGCATGCGTTCGCAAGCATCCCGGTATTCACGTTCCAGACGATCAACCACGGCCGCTGCCGGTCCGACCGACTTGATCGCTCCGATCCCCTGCCCCGCGCCCCAGATTTCCCGCCAGGCCTTCGGCAGTGGACCATCGTCCGGCATGACGCTCACATCCCAGTCCGGCGGCAAGTTGTCCGGGTCGAGACCGACCCGTGTCAACGACCCTTTCAGGTAGTTGGCCGGATGCCCGGTGAACAGGGATGACGTCAGGACGTCTTCCGCTGCTGCCTTCACCATCATCTCCTTGTAGACCGGGTCGGCATTGGCTTCGTTCGTTGCCACGAAGGGTGAGCCGACATAACCGAAATCGGCCCCCAGCACGCGAGCCGCCAAACGAGCTTCACCTGTGGAGACCGCTCCTGCAAGCAACAATGGGCCGTCGAACCACTCGCGGATCTCGCGCACAAGGGCAAATGGCGATTGTGGCCCGCCGTGACCGCCCGCCCCTGCCGCAACCGCGATCCGTCCGTCGGCGCCCTTGCCGACCGCCTTTTTTGCATAGGTGTTGTTGATGACATCATGAAGCGCAATGCCCCCGCACGAATGAGCGGCGTCGTTGACCTCGACCCGCGCACCCATGGACGTGATCCAGACCGGAACTTTCCACTTCGCACAGATTTCGACATCCCGTTCGAGCCGGTCATTGGACCGGTGGACGATCTGGTTGACGGCGAACGGCGCCGCCGGCCGATCCGGATTTGCCTGATTATGGCGGTCAAGCTCTTCGGTAATCTTCTTAAGCCATATCTCGAGCAACACCGGACCGCCTGGTTCATCCCGGGCATTGAGTGCCGGAAAGCTGCCGATGATCCCGGCCTTGCACTGCGCAATCACGAGATCCGGGCACGAGACGATGAAAAGTGGCGCCGCCACTGCCGGAATTCGCATGTCCTGCAAGACAGTTGGAAGCGTTCGCGCCTTCAGCATGCTGGCTGTTTCTCCTCATTGCGGACCAGATAGAACCTGTTGAGCCAATCAGCCTTGAGCGCGGGACGGGTCTCGCCTTCGATTTCCACGGTTGCCTGCCAGAAAAGATCGACCTCACCTGGCCTGATTTGGTTCACGTTTGCCAGGACGAAACGACCACGAACCTTTTGCCCGGCCTTCACTGGAGAAAGGAACCTGACCCGGTCGAAACCGTAATTGATGCCCAGGCGAGATCCGGAGATTTTCGGCTGCGCCTCCTGGCCCATGACCGAGAGCAGGGACAATGTCAGAAAGCCGTGCGCTATCGATCCGCCAAACGGGGTCTTGGCAGCGTTTTCCGGGTCGACATGAATGAACTGGTGATCCTGCGTCACGTCGGCAAAGGAGTCGATGCGCGCCTGATCAATCAGGTACCAGGACGAAACCCCGACATCCTCGCCGATCAATGATTTCAGCTTATCGACCGTAAGTGCGCGCGCATCCTCACTTGCAGTCACGCATAGGCCTCCTGGAACAGGTCCGGTCCGGTTTCGACGTTTATACCTCCGCTGATCGGGAGGATTGCGCCGGTGACGTAAGCCCCGCCGCGACCGCACAGGTATTGCAGGGCCGCAGCAATGTCTTCCCTGCGCCCGACCCTACCGAGTGGAACCTGTGCGCCGACCCGGCTCCGGACTTGTTCATCTTCCGTCGCGAAGGCGGTCATCTTGCTGACGAATGGTCCGGGAGCCAGTGCGTTGACCGTAATCCGCCTGTCAGCCAGTTCCTTGGCGAGAATCTTCGTCAGGTGGTGGACTGCCGCCTTGGAGGCTGCGTAGCTGTATGCACGATCGCCATGCGGCAATTCCCCCATGACGGATCCGACATTGACGACGCGCGCGGGATCGTCATCGCTTGCTGCAGTTTCCAGCAGGGGCAGGAGTTTCTGGGTCAGATGGAACAAACCTGTCACATTGAGCTGCATGACCCGTTCCCAGGCGAAATATGGAAACTCGCCCAGCGGCGTGCCCCAACTGGTGCCGGCATTGTTCATCAATATGTCGAGCTTTTCTGTACGATTGCCGATTTCGGCAGCCAGGGCATCAATGCCCTGCTCGGTTGCGACGTCCCCGCCAAAACCCTCTGCCCGTCCGGAGTAACCGGCGGCATTCAAATCATCCGCGGCTGCCTCGCAGGCCTCTTCCTTTCGGCTTGCGATGAAAACCCTGGCACCGGCAGCAACCAGTCCTTCGGCCGCCATACGGCCAACCCCTGTCGCGCCACCGGTGACAAGTGCCGTTTTTCCAGAAAGTCCAAAAAGAGCATCCGGGGTCATAAATTGCCCTCGGCACGCTGTTTTCTGAGTGTCAGCTTGGAAACCTTGCCTGTCGCAGTAAGGGGAAGCTGATCCACGAAGACAATTTCGTCAGGCACCTGCCATTTTGCGAGCTTGGCCATGAGAAGCCCGCGCAACTCGTCCTCCTGCGGCTGCGCATCCTCCCGGGGAACGACAATCAGCAACGGCCTTTCGTCCCATTTGGAATCCGGCACGGCGATCACCGCACAATTGGCGACGCCTGGATGGGACATGACAATGTTCTCAAGATCGAGCGAACTGATCCATTCGCCGCCGGACTTGATCAGATCCTTCGACCGGTCGGTGATCTGCAAAAACCCTTGCGGATCGATCTTGGCAATATCGCCCGTACAGAACCATCCATCCTGATCGAACACAGGTTTTGAAGCCTCCGGATCTTCAAAATAGCCGGAGGTGATCGTATTGCCGCGCACGTAGAGATGCCCTTGTGACTTGCCGTCATGCGGCAATCGATTGCCGGCATCGTCGACGATTTTCATATCCACGCCGAACACACCGCGCCCCTGGGACTGCTTGCGATCGATACGTTTTTCGAGCGGCAGATCCGCCATATCCGGCGGCAGGTTGCACTGGGTGCCGACCGGGCTCATTTCTGTCATGCCCCAGGCGTGACAGACGTTCACGCCCTTCGTCTCAAAAGCCTCAATGAGCGCGCGCGGCGCTGCGGAACCTCCGATCACGACATCACCAAAGCCATCCGGCAAGTTGCCTCTCTGCGTGATTTCATTCATCAGGCCGAGCCAGACAGTCGGCACGCCCCATGCAGAATAGACCTTTTCCCTGTCGAGCAGATCAAACAGGCTTTTGCCGTCGAGCGCGCCGCCCGGAAACACCAGGCTTGCTCCGGAGAGCGGAGCTGCATAGGGCAGTCCCCACGCATTCACATGAAAGAGTGGCACCACCGGCAATATGCGGCCACCTTCCTGCAGAACCTTCGGAATCGTTACGCACAGCATAAAGGCGTGCAGTACCGTCGAACGGTGCGAAAAGAGCGTCCCCTTGGGGTTTCCCGTGGTGCCGGAGGTGTAACAAAGTCCCGCTGCTTCATTCTCATCGAAATCCGGCCAGCCGATGTCCTGAGGCTGTCCCTCCAGCAGCTCTTCGTAACACAGCACATCTTCCATCGAAGTCTGTGGCATGTGTTGCCTGTCGGTCATGATGACGACGCGCAGGTCATTCGGCAGCTGGTCGCGCAGTTTCTCGATGATAGGCACGAATGTGGTATCGCAGAAGATGATCCGGTCCTGCGCGTGATTGATGATGTAAATCATCTGCTCGGCTGAAAGCCGCGGATTGATTGTGTGACAGACCGCACCAATACCGGAGATCGCGTAGTAAAGTTCGAAATGCCTGTAGCCGTTCCAGGCAAGTGTTGCGATCCGGTCGCCCTGCGCTACCCCCAGTGACTTCAGACCATGGGCCAGCTGCGCGGTGCGACGCGCCGTTTCTCGGTAGGTCGTTTTGTGGATATCACCTTCGGTTCGAACGGAGACGAGTTCACCGAGCGGATAGGTTTCCGCGGCAAAGGTGATGATGTCCGCTATTTTCAGCGGACGGTGCATCATCATTCCCTTCATTCGTGTCCTCCCAAACACTGTTGCGAATACGCAATCGTTCAAAGGGCCCGGGTGCATACCCTCGCGACAGACCGTAGCGTGGGCGTCGCTCTCTGGGAAGGCTGACTGACGAAATCCTTTGACAGTGCGTCCCAGTTGCGCCAAACCCCTGCCCGAACCCGGGGTCCGGCTCATGCGAAGGACCTTTGCCGCCAACCGGAAGGATCAAATCTGCTTCATGACCCAGAAACTGGTCATTGCCGTGTGCACAGCGCAACGCCCGAACATGCTCAAGGCGTGCCTTGCAAGCCTCGATCGGCTTGTCGGTCCGGAAAGCACCGAGCTTTCGATCGTGGTGGTGGAAAACGATCCCAAACCCTACTTCACCGGTGCTTCGGCCGAAGAGGCGAGGTCGGTTCTGCAGATCCCGGTCTTCTTCTATCACGAGGGGCGCAAGGGCATTCCCTTTGCACGCAACACGGCGCTGGAGGCCGCGCTGGAACACGATCCGGATTGGGTCGCGCTGATCGATGACGATGAACGCGCAGAGCCCGACTGGATCGAAAAACTGCTGCAAGCCTGCAAAACATTTTCAGCCGAGGTAGCCAACGGGCCTGTCCGCCACATCTACGAAAAACCTGCGCCGCACTGGTGGAAGTCGCAACTCCTCAAACCCCGGCCAACCGGAACCGAGATCACCGAAGCGCCCACCAACAACGTGCTGATCAACGCAAGAATAATCCGTGCAGACGGGCTGGGGCTGCGCTTTGACGAGCGCCTGACCTTCGGCAGCGAGGACATTGACTTTTTCCGCCGGACCCATGCGGCCGGCGCCAAGATGATCTGGGTCGACGATGCCTTTGTCGAAGAAGACATTCCCGCCTCCCGCGTAACCACCAAGCGGCTGCTCAGCAGGATGCACATGGCAGCAACTTCGGGCGCATTCAACATCGTGTTACGTGAGGGGAGAGGCAAGGCGGCGCTGCATTTCATTCCCAAGAGCACGCGGCGCATGGTCTTCGGACTGCTTGCCACTTTGTTCGGCTTCTGCCTGAAACCGTTCTCGCGCCAGCGGGGGGAAAAACTCTTTTATTACGGGCTCATCCGCCTGATGAAAGGGTCGGGAAACCTGCGCGGACTGCTTGGCCGCGCGCACAACTACTATGACGTGATCGATGGCAACTGACGTGGCACAGCGCTCGACAAAACTTGCCCACATTCATCTTGGTGTCGACGGTGGCGCAGAGAAGTTTTTCGTAAGGCTGTCGCGGGCGCTGGCGAAGCGCGGCGTCGAACAGATCGCCTTCATCCGGCATGACAGACCGGGGCGCGATGAACTCGCCGAACACTGCACGGTCCGGGAACTGAAGTTCAGCCGCTCGCATCTGAAGCGCCACTTCGTGCGCTGGGGTGTGTCCAAGGAGATTCGCGATTTCGGCGCTTCCACGACACTGGGATGGATGAGCCCTGCAAGCAAATGGATGCCGAAGCCCGGACCGGATATGCGCACCTTCTTGCGCCTTGGTGATTTCCCGGACGGCTTTCACACTTATGGCAATGTGCAGCAGTTGATCGGCAATACGCCGGAAATCATCAGGCAGGCCGTCGAAATGGGCTGGCCTGCCGAGTGTGCGCACATGATCAGCAATTTCGTGGATCCGCTACCGAACAATCTGCAACCGGTCAATCGGTCGGAATTCAACACTCCGGAAGATGCGACCGTGCTGATCGCCCTTGGCAGGTTTGTTCAGCGCAAACGCTTCGACCTCCTCATCGAGACGCTGGCGCGGCTTCCTGATCCCGTTCACGCCTGGCTGATCGGTGATGGTGAATTGATGAACGACATGAAGCTTCTGGCGAAGCAACTGGGCGTCGAGGCGAGAACGCATTTTCTCGGATGGCAAAAGGATCCCACACCGTTCCTGAAGGCTTCGGATATCCTGGTCTGTCCCGCCGACGACGAACCGCTCGGCAAGGTAGTCCTTGAAGGCTGGAACGCCGGCCTTCCCGTTGTCGCCACGGCGTCTCCCGGTCCAAGCTGGCTGATA